CATACGACGGCGACATATGTCGCAATCTTTGATAAGTGGTGGTGGACCGTCTATGTGTGTTCGTTGCCACGGGCAATTGTAATGCTCTAAACACGGACGACAGCGTTGCACTTCAGGATCCGTTTTTAAATGGTCGGGTAATCGATCCCACAGTAGCTCCACATAATTCTCAAATTCCTGTAAAAGAACAATCTTCGGTGTATTGCAATTGCTCGGCGGTAAAATCGAGAATCTCACGCTTATTCGTCAGTAAGAAAAACATTTTTTTGCGGTAACAACAACGATCCGCTTTTTACAGTAAACTGTGTGAATCGAGCGCGCGCCTGCTCGGGGATATAAATAGTGTTGAAAAACTCGCTCGCGCTACATCGCGCACGCGCGTTACACGAGTAAATGCGATTCGTACGACCATCACGAACGATAGGAGTGTCGAATCTCGACCGCAAGACGCGACTCATGTCCGATGGAGAGATTCGTATGCACGGCCCTCTACTACCGAATACAATTCGTTGCATCATCTGTGGACCGTCCAACTGTGGGAAAACGAACGCTTTGATAGGTTTGATAGAAAGTCCACACGGTGTACGTTTCGAAAACGTGTACGTGTATTCGAAATCTCTCTTTCAACCGAAATATCGATACTTGGAAGAACTGCTCGAATCGATAAATGGTATCGGCTACTACGCATTTTCCAACAATCGTGACGTCATATCACCGAAGGAGGCACTTCCCAATTCAATATTTGTATTCGATAATGTGACCTGTGATAATCAGAATACTATTAGAGAATATTTTTCTATGGGTCAACATACGAACATCGATTGTTTTTATCTCTGTCAGACGTATGCAAAAATACCGAAACATCTGATACGTGATAATGCAAATTTTTTAATACTATTCAAACAGGATGGTACTAATTTGAAACACATTTATAACGATCACGTAAACACTGATATATCGTATGAGAATTTTTGCACGTTGTGTCATTTATGTTGGCAACGCAAATACGGTTTTGTGGTAATAGACAAAGATAGCGCATTACGCAACGGTAGATACAGACGAGGATTCAACGATTTCGCTGTAGTGTGAAAAAAATCATCTGTAGTGTTTTTGTGAAAAAACAACTCATGAGCAGTACTTCTTTACCGTTATGATAACATGGTTGGAACGAAAAGTCTCTCCGAATGGAAGAGAACAGTGAAACTGATCGCGAAGACACGCGCGTCGATTCGTAAGAAACACAGAGCATTGAAGACTGGTATAATGGAGAAGGAGATCGTTCTGGGAAAACAATTGTGGCGACTCGCCATTAAAGGTCCACTCGTTTCGCGTAAGCACCGCGCCGCGCGAATTCCCTTTAAATAGAATATCATTCTGGATTCATTCCAGGCGTCTAAGGCAAGTCCCACACTATATCGCCTTACTGATGAGTTTAGTTGTTTAGTTCATATTAAGTATGGTCATCCCGCGGCATGCGATGTAGTTATATTATCGCCAAGGATGGCGCTAGAGTCGAGTGGAGCCACACCGGTGAAGGCAGAGAGAGATTTTTATCCTATCAGTTAGTTGTTTTATCATAGTAAGTAGTAACGTTATGTACAAAGAGCTACGCCACATTGAGGCCCAATAAACTATTTCCTTTTAAGAGAAGCAATACGATACCTACAATCACTTCCTACGGCATTGCAGTTATTATTGTCTCTAACACTAGTAGCGTGGGACCAGGACGAAACGCTGCGGCCGACCACAAAGCTTCGAGTCAGGCCTCCTTAGTGGACATTTCCACACAATTAAAACCTATTATCGAACCGTTGAAACAAATCGCTGAATACACTGCACGTGAAGGTAAATCAGTTGAAACTAAGTTTATGGAGAGTTAGCGAAAGAATAAACGTAAGTACAGCGATGATGAGGAAAATGACGACAACGACGACGACGACGACGATGATAATGATGCAATTCCAACACAAATTACTCCCCAGCGTCTTCCCTGGAACGAACGAATAAATAAGAAACGATCAAACGTCATGCCTGATTCGTCCATAATTCATTCCACACCAATGAATCACAACAACAACAAGTAACTCCTTTTGACTCGCAGGACGAAGAAGTTTTTGAAACCGGTGATAATCCGTCGCTTGAAACGTCTGTCAGACAGGCATTGAACACCCCTCAAAGTCATCAGAGATTGCAAAGTCAATTAGGGCCGTTAGGACAAGTATATGTGAATACTCTTTTAATTGGTAACGCGAGAAATGAAATCGATCTTGTCTACGGTGTTTATTTCGATGAAAACGGTACGATGTTGGGAAATAAAATATTTAACTTGGATACGGACGACACTATAATCATAGACGGAGTGAGATACAAAGGTACACCAGGTCTACACGAGTTGATCTTCAAGAAGATTCCAAACGACGCTATCTACACCGAGAATGATAAACAAACGTACAAACATATATTATTGACGACGAATGCTCACAGACGTGACAATAACGCCAGAATGCCTATTAAGAGTAACAAGGGACACAAATACAAAAACCTTATTGCCCCGCTCTTAGTTACTCATAAAAGGAGTGTCAGCGGCACGAGTATTGGCTCAGGTATAAAGACAAATATACCATCCGCTGTGATTGACTGACAAAGAAATAGATTACGTTCATTGGGACGATCCCAACGAGTTGGGGGATCGTCTTCAATTGCTCGATGCTTCTCGTCAAGCGGGTAATAACGCTCACGACAACGAAATTTTGTCGATAATCGAAAAACTTCGCGAAGCTGGATTAATTATAAATTGAATCGTTGTAATAAAAATTGTAACAGTTTTCGCGCAAACTCGATAAGATGTCTGTGAATGAATTTGGTATGCCTCTGAGGAGAGACGATAGCGATGAAATCGAAAAATCGCGATCGTTGATAGAATCGTTACGGAATTACGTACACGACAGTGGGCTCTGTCTGAATCCGGATCATTACGATGCGAAGGAACGAAAAATAGAACACGTGGCCGCGCCGGAGTTCGACACCGACGCAGTAAACAAAAGCTACGTCGAACGCATGCTTCGAGGTACGCGAAACGAGATCGAGGAATCGTTTAGGATGACAAGGAGAGATGTACAGGAAGTGCGTAACGATATGGAGAAAATGCGAAGAAACGTGGAAGAGATTAAGTATCTGAATCGAAGTGTAACTGCACAAATGAAAAATGTAGTGACTAATGAGATATTGGAGAATTCGTTCAAAGAACGATTTCAAGGTGTGGCGATGAATAAAGAGTTGGAAAAAACTATTTTACAATTGCGTCACGAAATGGAAAGAAGAACTGCGTGAAATTGAGTTTAATTATAAAGTGAATAGTTTTCACGAAAACCGCGACAGTTTCGCGCGAACTCGATACGATGTCCGTGAATAAATTTGGTATGCCTATGAGGAGAAACGAAATCGAAAAGTCGCGATCGTCGATGAAAACTTTACAAAATTACGTATACAATAATGGGCTCTGTCTGAATCCGGATCATTACGACGCGAAGAAACGAAAAATAGAACACGTGGCCGCGCCGGAGTTCGACACCGACGGGGTAAACAAAAGCTACGTCAAACGCACGCTTCGAGATACGCGAAACGAGATCGAGGAATCATATGGAACGATAAGGAGCGCTATGGGGAAGATGCGAAGAAACGTGGAAGAGATTCAGCATCTGACTCGAGATGTAACTGTACGAATGAAAAATGTAGTGACTAACGCGAAAAGTGTGAGCGCGCTATCGACGAAAGTGTCCAACGAGATTCAACGTGATGTAACTGATCTGCGTCAACAAATGTTTAATATGGTGATGAAAGAGATGATTTAGCGTGGTGTAACTGATCTGCGTCAACAATTGCATAATATAGCGACGAAAGAAACGTTGAAGAAGGAGACGTTAGAGAAATCGTTTAAAACGACAGGAAGAGATATAATCGTGCGCGCGCTTCAGGATATGCAGAAAGATAGTTTAAAAGTGTGTAGCGATATGGAAAAAAGGTATCCGACGCTATCACACGTCTGACTCGAGATGTAACTGTACGAATGAAAAATGTAGTGACTAACGCGACATTGGAGAAATCGTTCGAAACGACGAGGAGAGATATGATCGTACGCGCGTTTCGGGATACACAGAAAGATATCTCGAACGATGTGGAAAAAGTGCGAAACAATGCGGAGGTCTCGAAAAGTGTGAGCGCGCTATCGACGAAAGTGTCCATTCAGCGTGATGTAAATGATCTGCGTCAACAAATGCTTAATATGGTGACGAAAGAGATGATTCAGCGTGATGTAACTGATCTGCGTCAACAATTGCATAATATAGCGACGAAAGAAATGTTGGAGACTAACGAAATTCAACGAGATGTAACTGATCTACGTTAACAAATGAATAATACGGTGACGAAGGAGACGTTAGAGAAATCGTTTAAAACGACAGGGAAAGATACGTTCACGCTGGCGCTTAAAAAATATTTGACGATATTCAGATGTTGCATCACGGTGTAAGTGATCTGCGTAAACAATATCGACGAATGTGTGTAACGAGAACGAGAACGAGATTCGGCATCTGAAACGAGGTGTTTAGGTATTTAAACGCATCTAGGTTTAAAAGATACGTGCAAAGCTCGTTTCCTGTCATAACAGAGAGAGATGAGTATCGA